TGTGTGTGTGTGTGTGTGTGTGTGTGTGTGTGTGTGTGTAGATGGAATATATGAAAATGTCTCTGAATAAAAATCAAAACTATGTTAGAAAAGAATACATTCTTCCTCACCTCTGTTTTCTCACAAGGCTGCACAGAAAAGTTCTGCAAGATTTTGACAACAGCAATCTTCATGGTAATGAGAGCAAACCTCATGCCAATGCAGTTTCTAGGACCACTTCCAAAAGGCATGTATACATAAGGATTGATTCTGTCCTTGTTCTCCTTGCTGAACCTGGTGTCTCAATGGAAAAAGAACATGAATAATGAAACAAGAAGCACACAAGAGTGACATATTTGCATGCTTCACTTATAGTCCTCAGACAGAATCATTCAAAGGATTTCAGTTTATTTATTATTTTTATCATGGTGGAGTTAGTTTACTATGAAATTTGGAAGTTAAAGATTCTTTGTTCAATGTTACAGTAAGGAAGCTCCCAGTATTAAGTTGATGTGTGTTAGATACTTGTTGAAATCAAATATGTCTTTAAACATTTAAAGTCTTTAAAATATTAAAGAAGTCTAGGTTCCCTGTGTTTAAATATTACAAAATAAATGTAAGTGATGAAGGACCTGTCCTGAGATCTGAGTTAGGGATTCACTCATTCGGGATGAAGGAGAACATGTATGTTATAAATGAACTGTTTTTATTCCATCCTCTGGTCTTCTCACCCTACTTATTTCCCTTCATATCATTGTTTTATTCTACTCATCCTAATCTGCTTGCTCTTCTTCACCATTTCTTTCCTTTCAGGGCTCCTTTTGCCCCATTAAGATCCTTTAACAAAATATTTGATTTTTCTCCCCTTAAAGAGTCATCAAGTGAAGTAGTTTGCAAGGACACACACTATGATTTAAGTGAGCCCATTACTGGGGGAACTGGCCTAGAGCAAGGGTGAGGTTGAGGCATGTCCAAACCCTGAAAAGTTCATCCTGAGATAGGACTAAGGATTGCTACATCTCTGTATCTGGGTCTGTAGGGTCTAGTGCACATAGCCTTGTGTTCCCCACCTCCACTATCTTTGAAGGAGCCACACAAGCTGGTGGCCAAATTCCAGACTTAACTTCTTCCCTCCTCAAAAAGACATGTCCAGTAATCATTGGGAATTCCTCTTCATGCAAATGAAGCATTCCCAGCATCTCAACTACAGCCAATAATGTACACTCACCCTGAAAACCCTACCTACTACCCAAGGTTTATATAGCCCTATTACCCTTAAATAGTGAGAGCCATTTCACTGAAAACCTGGGAGAAGGTTGTTTCTCCCTGTACTAACTGCCAAACCAGAATTTTTCTGACACACCTATCTGGATGAGCTTTGTTCTCTTCATTCCAGTTTGGTGCAAAACTGGTATCTGGAAGCTCGAAGGGGAGAAGTGAACCTGGACTAGTAACACGCTGCTTTTCTACTCTCTTACCACTGACTTTTGTCTTCATCTTTTCTCCATTAGGAGAAAAACTATTAAAAGTCCTATGTCCAATTAAAATCAGCAGTATCAACTGATCTGGACCCACTAGATCTCTCAGACAATGAACCACCAAGGAGGTAGCATACACCAGCTGATATGAGGACCCTGACATATATACAGCAGAGGACTCCTTGGTCTAGCCTCAGTGAGAGGAGATCCACCTAACCTTCAAGAGATTTGAGGCCCCAGGGAGTGGGGAGGCCTGGCTGGGTGGGATTGGGTGAGGTAGGGACATCCTCTTGAAGATCATGGGGGTGAGGAGGTATGGGATAGGGGCAACCAGGAAGGAGATGAAGACTGGACTGTAAAAAAGGATTAAAGAATAAAAAGAGAGAGAGAAAGTTAAAACAACATTTAAATTCCCATGTTATTATAAAAATAGAAATGCTGATTCTGGAAATGTTTTGGAAGCCTAATAACCATATGTTCTATGAGAGTTATTAAGCACCAGGGAAGATTGAGAAATAATTTCTTAGTGATATTTTAGAGAACAGCATTGGCATCAGATGAAGGTTGTGTTAGAAAGTATGTGCAAGTTGAATTTAGTGAATCTCATTAGGGAAGATTATACATAAACATAGGAAACATTAGAATACTTCTATAGACTTTTTATAGTATATGTTGGATTATAATCTTGATGACTTTTAACATTTGCATTCCTCACTTCCTGGACTAGTATTTACTGATGTTCACTGAGCACATAATATTGGGTTCAAAGTATGTCAACATGAACAATAAATAACATCTGTTTGAGGTTACTAAGCTACAGGAGGTGGGATTGTTGGGTATATAGAAGCCACATAGAAGTCACCTACACAGGAAACAGGAATCAGTCAACTCTATTTTACTCCTCTAATGAGTACTATATGTGCCTTAGCCAGAGACATGTCTAAGAATACAAACTCTTAGGCATAAAAAACTTTATGAAAAATGACAGTACACTATATGTCAAAATTATTAGCAACCTGGTTCAACTACTTCTATCTTAAAAATATGTCGTTCACATAAGTAGCATTATATGGACTGAGCAGGTTACATACATGAATATATATGCATATCCATATACCTGTATACAAACAATAACAATTTATGCAAAAAAGAGGTCTTGAACTTGAAAAATGTGGGTATGGATGTACAGGAACGTTTGGGTGAAGGAAGGGTAAGACAGATGTTTTACCTAAATTAAAATCTCAAAGCTTAAAAAAATAAAGAAAATCTATTATTCTGTATTTTTATTAGTGAGACAACAATGTCAACCTATTTCCATGCTGCATACAATTCCTACAGATTGTTCATTACTTTTGTTTCACAGGTGAGCCTGCACTATATTCAAGAAGAATCGTGAGAATGACTCAGAGGTTAAGAGCACTGACTGATCTTCCAGAGATCCCAAGTTCAATTCACAGCAACTACATGATGCCTCACAACCATTGCACACTCTTCTGACAAGCAAGCAGAACACTATGCATATACTAAATAACATGTTTTTTTTTTAAATGAATATATCAACTTTCTAGGGAAAGTTACTTGGCTTTGGAGGAATAACTCACTGAATGAGTGTGAAAGAGCAGTCTTCATGAAGCAGACATAGACAACGCAAAGAGGAGGTATATTCACATTCACCCTTGAACTACTAAAAGTCTGATTTTCTGTAACTTTTAAATGCACAAATGTGTAATTCAATGGATTCCTATATTTCAGAAATAAATCCTGTATTTGGGCATGTGTCTAGAGAATTCTTCTAGCATTCAGGACAACTTAGAAGTAGCATAAACATAATGACTTTAATAAACCATTAATATCCTAATCATTTTAATTGTTCTTATGCTCTCTGACACATACTAACACACGTACATGCACACATCACACAAGCACATTTCAAAAAATAGTATTGATAAATTATAGAAAGTAACCAGAGTTTATAAAAACTGGAGAAGCTTGGTGGTTTTTCCTAATTTTTAAATATCTTTTCATACTTAGAATTATTTACAATGATATCACTATATTAGAGAAATTTGCGTTAAGGTTTTAAGACTCTAAAACAAAATTACCCAATTTAGAATTGTCATTTTTTCTTCAGCTAAAATCCTTGTAGCTTTTTAAAATAGAAATTATCTCTTTGAAGTAAGAACATAGTAAATTCAAACATACATTTAAGATAATATAAATTTATATCTGTGTGATTACTGTAAGAGACATCTCAATGTGCTTAGAGAATCATGATTCTGAGTATGTTCCCATTCAGAGTCCTCATACCTTTCAGGGCAGAATTTCTCAGGTTCTGTCCAGTATTCTGGATCTCGGTGAAGAATAAATATAGGTATATCTACTTTTGTATTTTGAGGAATGAACACACCATTGATTTCAGCATCTTTCTTACTGAGTCTAGAAATTCTAGCACCAATTGGATATAATCTCAGAGTTTCATTGATTACCATGTCCAGATATTCTATCTCTACCAGGCCATCATAAGTGACAGGTGCCTGGAAAGAGAAAAACAGATTTTTGATGATTTGAGAACTGAAATTAACTTTCTATGTCAATGTATATACAGCATGCTTAAGTTGTTAGAAACTCACATTCAACACAGATCAATGTGTGAATTCACCACTGACATATTATATGCACAAGTGTTTTGACCAGCTAAAGAGCCATTGAAATGCATAGTGAAGTGAGTATGGTTGATATTCAGAAAAGAACTTCACCTAAGGAACCAAATCATCAGTTTCTCTTTATACTGCTCTTTGTTTCAGTAATAATGAGTGTCATATCATATAAATCTTCTTCAATATAAATCAGCTATCAAGGTCATTATAACTTTTTATAGAAAGGCCATAAATGCAGGCCAAGGGAATATAATGCAGTGTTAGATTCTTTTTTAAAAATTTTTATCAAGCCTATCTAATGAGACCTCATAGTGTGTGAAACCTATTATTATGCTTAACATTACTATAGGTATGAATATTGGTGTCATATTAAAGAGGAATAACATATGAAATTACAGTTAAATAACTTCAGTAGGATCTTTTCCATTTGAAACTCATCATGGTAAAATAGGGTAAAAGTGAACAAAAATTGGGCATAAAATTTCTGTTCTATTGAAATGTCAATTCAACTCCATGCATAGTTGTGGAAGCAATCTTCCCCTTTTGCTTCAAATAGTATTCTAATAAATCTTTACCTTTCAGTATCTCATTGCCTACAGTTAGCTGAAAAGAATGTCTCAACTGAGAGATTGAGGATTAGGTAGGTTTGTGGCTATGTCTGGGAGGGTGGTTTTTCTGATTTTCTAGATTGATGTGACTGTGTCTCAACATCTGCAGATAGCATTATTTCATGTGCAGATTATATTGGGGTATATGAAAAAAGGCTTTATAATGATGGTTCAGTGAATGGCCCAGAGAGCAATCACCATCCTCCATGGTCCCAGCTGTGCTTATTTGGTTGTGAGTGAGTTCCTTGGTCAGAGGAAATGCTATGTGGAGTGACAATAACTCATGCCTACAAGTTCTTCCCTTAAGTTCCTGCCTTTATATTCTTCAATGATAGACTGTGATAAAAAAAAAATGTAACTTAAATGACTGCTTTCCTAAACACACTTGGTTTTGGTCATGGTATTTGCCACATGATAGGATGAAGCAAGAACAGAAGGTGAGTATGAGACCTGATGATGCTTTGTGGGCTTCTCACTGACAAATAGACAGTCAAAGAATTCAGATACTTCACGCTATATTGCAGTCAGTTTGGGTAGAGATATGAAGACAGCTTACATGATATGTTACTATTACTCCATAGGACCATAGAGCTACCAAAATGTAGAGGTAAAAAGTTTATGTTGGAAGCTGCCATAGTTTTCATGTCCAATCTAATTATGTGATTGGACAAATGAATAATGGGGAGAATAGCTGCCCAGCTAAGATAAGAAAAGGCACCATGGCTGGTTTTGCATTGTACTACTGTATACTGTTTTGCCACATTTGGTTATTATTTATTAGGGACCCACTCTTTCCTGAAGGGAGAGAGGGGGCATCTGAGGGAGAGGAAGGTGGAAAGAGCTGTGAGGAATGGATGGAGGAGAAACTGTGTTCATAATGTATTAAGTGAGAGAGGAATCTATTTTCAATCTAAAACAAAAAAAAGAATACATGGTAGATTATTGTATGTATTCAGGTATTTACTGTTCATTGATCTCTAAGCTTGGGTTTTACTTCCTTTCCCTCAGTAGCATCTTCTGTGGCTATTTATTTGTTGTTGAATAAATACAATAAAATGGTTAAAAAATACATGTTTTCATAGTCAATATTAATACCAAAGCATTTCCAGTAGTAAGTAGCTATCAGGTCACTGGGAGTCTAGAGGGACGTCTCACTCATAAAGAGCACTTTTTTCTCTTGCAAAGGACAAAGAGTAGGTTACCAGTACCAAAATTGTGGACCACAATTACTGGAGGCCTAGTTTTAGGGCATCTGTTTTACAATTCTAGTCACTACAGCCTCTAGTCATGAACATGATGATAAATATATATACGGGCAAAGGAGTTATATACTTTAAGAAAAAATTTAAAAGGTGATTGCTAAATTATTATACTTAAAGTTTAGAGATTTTATGCATACTTTTTGAGTGTGTCACTTTGGAAGAGATAATAGATATTAGGAGATCATTAAAAAGTACAATGATTAATTTTCTTTGGGAACACTATTGTCTTGCATCTCTCCTTCTTCTTCTGCACTTAGATTTTCACTGACTATTGATTGCTGTAAGAACCAATGTTTAATCTATTTATTATCTTTTTCAATATATGTGTAGAAGAATTGTTTCTTGTTGAAGTTTGATCTATTCTTTTCCTCAGATGCTATCTACTCACCTTTCTGGGCAGAATTGCATCAATTTCATTCTGGAGTTTCGTCTGGATATCAGGGTGAGTAGCCAGTGTATACATAATAAAGGAAAGAACATTGCATGTGGTCTCATAGCCAGCAAAAATAAATGTGATTGATTGGGCCAAAATCTCCAAATCAGAGAGACCTAAGACAAGATTAGACATGTCAAGTATAATGGATCTAGCTGGGAAGATGCCATAGTTGAAACTACCTCTCTCTATAATTTTGGAAAAATATTATCAATCATATATAAAGCGTTTTCTATGAGAATAAAAATTAAACAGACACCAGGATAAATGTAAAAATATTATGCATTGTACTTTTCAGGGAAGCATGGACCATAAAAATAGCACACTAAGCATAGTGACAAGCATGATGCCAATGTGCCACACAATGTAAAGCTGCAAAGAAAATAGAATAAGAAACAACTAGGATAATGAGCTTATCCACAATCAGATGCTGAGCAAATTTAAACATAAGGTGTGAGATGTAGACCAGATCAGTAGCTTGATACCAGTCCAAACCTTATAGCCTGTGTGATTCCCAGAATGCCAATGGTAACCAAAGACACAGGAGAAAATATCACCCAAATATCAATGCCAGTTGGAACAACCATGGAACACAGCTGATGTGGGACCTACTCACTCCCCCATCTTCCCCTGAGCTCCACCTTCCTCCTGTTCTGCTTGCTACCCCGCATGCTACAACCTGCTTGTCTCCAAGGAGGTACACAATTATCAAAGACACGGCTCCACTTTCCTTCTGGTCCACTTCCCAACCAAGATCAGATCAGTATCATGAAACTCAACCAACCACTACAGACTTTCAGCCTTCCACGAGGACTACAGTAACTAAGGACATAGCCTACCTGCTTCCTGGGAGGTCTGTAACAACCAGAGACACATCCTGCATGACTCCCAGAAGATTCTAAGTAATTGGGGAGACAGAAGGTCTTCTCTAACTAGAGACTCAGGAATCCCACTCTAACCAGAGACAACACTGCCTGCCTCCAAGGTGACAGACCTGCTCTAATCCAGGTAATAGAACGCTGCCTGACTCCAAGGATTTAAAATTGGAAGTAGAAAGAAAAAAGAAATCTCAAAAGGAGACTACTCTGGAGATAGAAAACCTAGGAAAGAGGTCAGGAGTCATAGATGCAAGCATCTCCAACAGAATACAAGAAATAGAAGAGAAAATCTCATGTGCAGAAGATACCATGAAAAACATTGACACAACTGTCAAAGAAAATGCAAAATGCTAAAAGCTCCTAACCCAAAACATCCAGGAAATCCAGACACAGTGATGAGACCAAACTCAAGGATAATAGGTATAGATGAGAGTGAAGATTCCCAACTTAAAAGGCCAGTAAATATCTTCAACAAAATTATAGAGGAAAACTTTCCTAACTTGAAGAAAGAGATGCCCATGAACATATAAGAAGCCTACAGAACTCCAAATAGACTAGACCAGAGAAGAAATGCCTCCCTTCACATAATAATCAAAACATCAAATGCACAAAACAAAGAAAAAATACTAAAAGCAGTAAGGGAAAAAGGTCAAGCAACATACAAAAGCAGACCTATAAGAATTACACCAGACTACTCACTAGAGACTATAAAAGCCAGAAGACTTTGGACTAATACCATACAGACCCTAAGAGAACACAAATGCCAGCTCAGACTACTATACCCAGCAAAACTCTCAATCACTATAGATGGAGGAACCAAGATATTCCATGACAAAGCCAAATTTTACACAATATCATCCCACAAATCCAGCACTTCAAAGGATAATTGATGGAAAACTGCAACACAAGGAGAGAAACTACAACCTAGAAAAAGCAAGGAAGTAATCTTTCAACAACCCCAAAAGAAGATAGCTACACAAACATAATTCTACCTCTAAAACAAAAAAATAACAGGAAGCAACAATCCTTTTTCCTTACTAACTTTTAACATCAATGAACTCAATTCCCCAATAAAAAGACATAGACTAACAGACTGAATACATAGACAGGACCCAGAATTTTGCTGCACACAGGAAATGCACCTCAATGACAAAGACAGACACTACCTCAGAGTAAAAGGATGGAAAACAATTTTCCAAACAAATAGTCCCAAGAAACAAGCTGGAATAGCCATTCTAATATCAACTAAAATCGACTTTCAACCAAAAGTAATCAAAAAAGATAAGGAAGGACATTTCATTCTCATCAAAGGAAAAATCTACCAAGATGAACTCTCAATTCTGAACATCTATGCTCCAAATGCAAGGGCACTCACATACACAAAAGAAACTTTGTTAAAGTTCAAAGCACATGTTGCTCCTCACACAGTAATTTCAACACACCACTCTCAGCAATGGAAAGATCATGGAAACAAATTAAACAGAGACACAATGAAGTTAACAGAAGTTATGAACCAAATAGTTTTAACAGATATCTATAGAACATTTCATCCTAAAACAAAAGAATATACCTTTTTCTCAGCACCTCATGGTACCTTCTCCAAAATAGACCATATAATTGGTCACAAAACAGTCCTCAACGGATACAAAAAGATTGAAATAATCTCTTGCATCCTATCATATCACCGTGGACTAAGGCTGTTTTTTAATAATAACAAAAACAATGGAAAGCCCACATACATGTGGAAACTGAACAATGTTCTACTCAATGATAACTTGGTCAAGGAAGAAATAAAGAAAGAAATTAAAAACTTTTTAGAGTTTACTGAAAATGAGGACACATAATACCAAAACTTGTGGGACTACATGAAAGCAGTGCTAAGAGGAAAACTCATAGCTCTAAGTGGCTACAAAAAGAAACTAGAGAGAGTATACACTAACCACCTGACAACACACCTGAAAGCTCTAGAATAAAAAGGGAAAGAAAGATAAAGTCTAACACACTGGATGCATAAACAAGATCCAGAATGTTACTGCGTACAAGAAACACACCTCACTGTCAAAAACAGACCTACCTCAGAGTAAAGTGCTGGAAAAAAGGTTCATAAGAAAATGGTCTCAAAAAAGAAGCTGGGGGTGCCACTCTAATATCAAATAAAATGTACTTTCAACCAAAAATTATTAAATGAGATGGGGAGGAACACTTCATATTCATCAAAGGAAAAATCCATCAAGAATTAGTCTCTACTCTGAATAACTATGCCCAAAATGCAAGGGCATCATATTCATAAAAGAAATGGTACTGAAGCTCAAAACACACATTGAACTTCCCACAATAATAGAAGGAAACTTCAACACCCAAGCCTCACTAGTTGACAGGCCATTGAAACAGAAACTAAACAGAGATACAGTAAAACTAATAGATATAATGAACCAAATGGATTTAATAGATAGCTACAGAATATTTCACCACAAGAGAATACAATTCTCAGCACTTCATACAACTTTCTCCAAAATTGTCCATGTAATAGGACATAAAACAAGCCTCAACAGATACAAGAAGATTGAAATAATCCCATGTATTCTAGCAGATCACCATTGAGTAAGGCTGGACTTTCATAACAACAAAGCAGAAGAAAGCCCAGATAATCAAAGAAACTGAACAACTCTCTGCTCAATGATTACTTGGTCATAGAAAAAATAAAGTAAGAAATCAGAGACATTATAAAATTCAATGAAAATTAAGACACATTATACCTAAACTTATAGGACACATGGAAAGTAGTATCAAGAGGAAAATTCATAGCACTAAATGACTTCATAAAGAGAATGGAGAGATCTCATACAAGTAAGTTAATGGCACACCTGAAATTGCTAGAACAGAAATAAGCTAACTCAGTCAAGAGGAGTGTGATGGCAGGAAATAATCAAAATCAGGGCTTAAGTCAACTAGTTAGAAGCAAAGCGAAAGATACAAATAATCAACAGAACCAGGAGCTGTTTCTTTGAGAAAATCAACAAAATAAATAATCCCTTAGCCAAAGTAACTAAAAGGCATAAAAATAGTATTTAAATTAGCAAAATCAGAAATAAAAAGGGAGACATGACAACAGAAATTGAAGAAATTAAAAAAAATCCATCATATCTAACTACAAAAGCCTATACTCTATAAACTGGAAAATCTAAATGAAATGGATGATTTCTAGACAAATACCATGCATCAAAGTTAAATCACGATCATATAAACTACCTAAACATTTTCATCATCCCTAAGGAAATAGAAATAGCCATAAAAAACCTCCCAACTAAAATATAACTCAGAACCAGATGGTTTTTAGTGCCCAATTCCACCAGATCTTTAACAAAGAGCTAATACCAACACTCCTCAAAGTATTCCACAAAATAAAAACAGAATGAACACTACCTAATTCATTCTATGGGATACAGAGATAAACAGACAACTCAAAACAAAAGAAAATGAATGGCTGAGGAACACTTAAAGAAATGTTCAAAGTCCTTAGATAGCTAAGAAAAGTAAATCAAAGTAAGTATGAGAATCCTCCCTACATCAATCAGAAAGACTTAGATGAAAACCTAAAGTGACAACACATATTGGTGGGGATGTGGAGAAAGAGGAATACTTCTCCACTGCTGCTGGGAGTACAAATTGGTATCACCAATCTGGAAATCAAACTGGTGGTTTCTCAGAGAATTGGAAATAGTTCTACCTGAAGATCCAGCCATACCATTCCTGAGTATATACCCAAAAGATGTTCCACCCAATCACAAAAACACATGCTCCCCTATGTTCATAGTAGACTTATGTATAACAGCCAGAAGCTGGAGACAACCCAGATGTCTCTCAATCAAAGAACGGATACAGAAAATGTGGCACATTTACACAATGGACTACTATTAATCTATTTAAAATTGGGGCATCATGAATTTTGTAGGCAAATAGGTCGATCTAGAAAATATCATCCTGAGTGAGGTAACTCAGACTCAAAGGGACATACATATTATGTACTCACTGATAAGTGGATATTAGCCAAAAAAACAGAGAATATTCATGATACAACCCACAGATTGTAAGAAGTTTAACAAGTAGAAAGGCCAAAATGAGGATGTTTCAATCCTACTTAGAAGGAGGTAGAGAATAATCATGGGAGGGGCAGCGGGAAATATGTATCTGGTGTGTGGTGGATTTTTGTCTGTTTTTTCTTCTCCCTCAAAAATGAT